TTCGATGGGGCGAGAACAAAATGGCAATGTCTTAAGGATAACAGCAACGGAAAGAACAATTATGTTCAGATTCAGAAGGCGACAGCCAAAATGTCTTGGTTACATAATGGTGATTGGAGTGTAGCTTAGATGTGACAATTTTTTCCTTCCTCTACCTCTGTTTCCTGTTTTGGATTGGGTTTCCGGTTCCTCCTAAATTTTGATTCAATTCTGTAATCCTACCCTCTGCAGTTTAATTCTGAAAATAGGAGTAGATAGGCTCACCTCCCTGCACTTTTAAACAGGAGTAGAAGTTTATCCCCTGTTTCCTGTTTAGGATTGGGTTTCCGGGTCCTTCTAAATGTTGATTCAATTCTGTAATCCTATCGTCTGCAGTTTTATTCTAAAATTTTATTCACTGTTTATTTCATTGTATTTTATATTTCTCCTCCAAAAATAGGAATAGATAGGCTCGCCTATCGTTCGGTTTAACACGCCTCCCTGCACTTTTAAACAGGAGTAGAAGTTTATCCCTTGTTTCCTGTTTAGGATTGGGTTTCCGGTTCATGCTACAGTCCGCTTCAGCTCTTTACTTCTAAAACTTGCCCTTTCTTATGCTACGCTAATACAACTCCATAGAGTAACAATCTACCTTGAGTGGCTCCTAGGCCTTGAATTTAGTGAACATTTGTGATAAAAAAAGGGCAAAAGTGTGGAGTATCCGGAGAGGATCGAACTCACTACTCAGTCGTAATTGATATAGCAAGTCAAACACGCTGAGCATTACACCACGTCGAAAAGCGGGAAAATTAGCCCTCACGGGGCATGCTGAGGGCAAAAGAGACAGGAAAAGATACACGAACAACGACCTGATGATAGAAAAAGATATACCAATTATATATCGACGTCAATTATTCCTGAAAGATAAAAGCGGTGATAATAAATTTGCCGCTTTTTTTACTGGTCATCCTGTAGTTTTAGAACCTGAAATATGCATTTCACATTAATGTCGCCTATATAACTTGCAATTAGAATATATATGGTCAAAAAGGTTTATCAATAATGTTACAATTAGAATATATATGGTCAAAAAGGTTTATCAATATAAATTAAATATTATTACTTCTATTAACAATATTATTATTTTTGTTGTTTTTTATCTTTCGAATTTCTTTCACTGGTCTGATAAATAAATAGCTTAACCGTAGTACTTTGTCACTTGTCATTAATCTTAGCTGACACATTTCATCCTCTGATGGCAAAGGTAGTGATTTTTGTCTTCAAGGTAAATGTAAGGATTTTATAAAACAGTATTTTTGCAGAATTTAAAAAAGTAAAAATGCACATAAATATACTTCACGCTAACTGAAAGTCAAGGTAAATTATGGAAGATGCTAAGTGGTGTAATTTAATGTCTAATAAAAAAAGTGAGTAAATGTTGTTGAATTTTTATAACGTGTTGCCCTAACGGGCAGCAATTTAAGCTAGCTCCTATGAGAGCTCTTCATCGGGCCTTTATCACAATAGATAAGGAGGAGTACATACAATAGGCAACAATAAATTACAGAAGAACTCAAAATTGATCTCTGTATTTAAGTATTTCATTAATATTTAAGCTTACCTTTTAAAAGTTCAACAATAATTCTTCTGCTGCCACTTAATTTAAAGACAGTTTGATGTACATAGATCCTTACTTTCCATACAAACAATTATTTTTATTTCATGGATGACTTTCGTTGGATTTCACAATTAATCTTGATTATTCCCAAATTTATTTCCAAGTTATAAAAATTGTTATTGTACAAAAAAAATTAATCACAAAAATCACTGAAAACAATCTCAGTAATGAAAATTTAAGAATTCAAAATTTCAGGATTGAAACCTGTATAAAAGAGGGATTTCTACTCAAATTACAATATATATATATAATATATATATATAAAGAGAACATTTAAAAAGAACATATATAAGCAGTAAATTGCTGATACTCGCTGAAGAGTGGACAAAGAGGCCTGGCCACGAAACTCTAGAGTCGGTATGCGGAAGGCAACATTAATCAGCTAAGTGACAATTTTACTCACATTAATTCTGTTAATACCTTGTCTTCGATATTGATCACATTATTACAAAGACTGCTTGTCTTAAATATATTTTCTCGCAATACGCCATTGACTGTTATTATTTTTGGCTTTATATTACCTTTGACATCATTATTGACTTAGCTTCTGAAACAATTCTCATTTGAGCTTTTTTGTAGATTTTTGTTTTTGATTGATAACTTTTGCACAGCTTTCAATTCTGTTTTATATTTTCTCAAAAAACAAAACAAAACAAAAGAGAAAACAAAGAACTATCTTACACCAATATGGAACCCACACAGTTTTTCTACCCATTGTAAAATATGTAAACATCAAACCTACACGACTACAAAGTCAAACTAAGAGAAAAACCCGAACACTTCATAAAACGCATAAGATATTCTATTTCAACAACAATGATGACAATGGTGATGACAACACGG